CCTGCCTCTCCCCTCTCATCTCACTCCACTCCCCTCCACGCACTCTCCTACCTCGCCCCTCTCATCTCACTCCACTCCCCTCCACGATCTCTCCTGCCTCTCCCCTCTCATCTCACTCCACTCCCCTCCACGCACTCTCCTGCCTCTCCCCTCCCATCTCACTCCACTCCCTCCACGCACTCTCCTGCCTCTCCCCTCTCATCTCACTCCACTCCCCTCCACGCTCTCTCCTACCACTCCCCTCTCATCTCACTCTACTCCCCTCCACGCACTCTCCTGCCTCTCCCCTCTCATCTCACTCCACTCCCCTCCACGCACTCTCCTGCCTCTCCCCTCTCATCTCACTCCACTCCCCTCCACGCTCTCTCCTACCACTCCCCTCCCATCTCACTCTACTCCCCTCCACGCACTCTCCTGCCTCTCCCCTCTCATCTCACTCTGCCCCCCTCCACGCACTCTCCTACCTCGCCCCTCTCATCTCACTCCACTCCCCTCCACGATCTCTCCTGCCTCTCCCCTCTCATCTCACTCCACTCCCCTCCACGCACTCTCCTGCCCCTCTCATCTCACTCTGCCCCCCTCCATGCACTCTCCTGCCCCTCTCATCTCACTCCCCTCCACGCACTCTCCTGCCTCTCACCTCTCATCTCACTCCACTCCCCTCCACGCTCTCTCCTGCCACCACCACCACCACGTGACTGTTCTTTCGTGTTGTGCGCGGTGCGTTTAGCGCCATAGCGCGTGGATTTGTAGCGCTTGTTCTTTTGTGTTGCTGGTGACTTTGTGTGTTTCGTATCGGAATCGCCTTCAGTGCTGTTGCTGCTGGCGGCAATAAAAGTTGTTTACAAGTCAAAGTCTCCTGTCTCTCCCCCTCTTTCCATCCCACCCTTCATCCTCCGTCCATCCTTCCCTCCCTCTCCTCCCTCCCTCTCCTCCCTCCTCCCTCCATCCTCCCTACCTCCCCATCCCTCCCTCCCACCCTCCCTCCGCTCCCTGTCTCTCCGTTGCCACGTGCACCGAACAACCCACCATTGTGCCCGAATAGAGCTTGTGTGTGTGTCTGTGTTTGTGTGTCTGTGTGTGTGTCTGTGTGTGTGTGTTTGCCGGTGACTGGTACCAGCGGTGTCAAGATCGGCCTCTGTAGAGGAGGCTCGTGAAGGACGCTGCTGGGCAGTTGGAGGCAGTCGCCCTCCAACAACAACGGAGGGCGGAGCGACGCTCACAACAACGAGCAGAGCGCCGGGTGGCTAAAGCACAGCAAGTTGGTACAGTAGGGGGCACAGGTGATGCATCAGCCAGTCATCTCGGTCATCTCGGTCAGTCGACCCGTGGCACCTGCTGGGTCCTGCCAGCGAGCGTCACCGCCACTTAGTAGCGAATGGCGGTTGTTGTGTGTGTGTTTATATTTGTTGTAAACAAGATTTACTGCCCGGCTTCGCCCGGGGCTTGGATTCTTGTTCTGGACTAATAGACGGCCTACGCGGAGGGTGATGGGGGGGGGGGGTGTGCGTGACGTCAGCAGGCACACTGCGTGACGTCACAGGCACACTGTTTAAAAGTCAAAAAGTCTCTCGCTCTCTCTATCCACTTGGCACCCCCTACAGACCCCTGGCTGCCACTGCAGGTAAGTGACGGCAGGCGAACGGCAGGTCAGTGGGTACCGGCAGGGTGTGTGCGCACACGCGATCCGACGCTACAAATTCTCCAGCAGTGTCGTGGCCTCCAACAGACTGGCTGGGTTGGCCAGCAACCACGCTCGGCCGCCTTTGTCTCTCCCCAGTGGCGATGTTTACCGCACACCGCACCGGGGTACTCGTTTGAGGCCGAGTCGACCTAGGGGAGCGTCCAGGAGCTGGTGGTGTTGGCGGCGGTGAGCGGGAATCGAACTCGGGTGGACCGGGTTCGGAGCGCAGCGTTGGGCGATGAGCGCTGCGACAACGCTACCCACTGACACACACGCACGGACACGCTCACTCAGTCACTCACTCACTCAGTCACTCACTCAATCACTCACCCATTCACTCACTCACTCAATCACTCACTCACTCACGCACCCACTCACCCCCTCAATCACTAAATCTCTCACTCACTCAATCACTCACTCACTCACCCACTCACTCACTCAATCACTCACTCACCTCACTCACCACTCACCCCCTCAATCACTCACTCACTAAATTTCTCACTCACTCAATCACTCACTCACCCACTCACTCGCTCACTCAATCGCTCATCCATTCACTCACCTACTCACTCACTCATCCACTCAATCACTCACCCACTCAGTCACTCACTCACTCAATCACTCACCCACTCACTAAATCTCTCACTCACTCAATCCCTCACTCACCCAATCACTCACTCACCCACTCGCTCACTCAACCACTCACTCAATCACTCACTTACCCACTCACTCACCCACCCACCCACCCACTCACCCACTCACACAGGGCTAAAATGTTATTTAAAGTATTTTTAATAGTATAGAAATGTTGCATGTCTCTGTGATTCTTAATTAGGTTATCGTTAGCGTGTAATGCTAGATTAGTAACACTGCGTTCGTGTTCCTCTGCTGACCAGCTGGTTTAACTAAAACTAACATAGAGATGTGTGGATATACACAGAGACTCATAGAGACACACAGAGACTCATAGAGATACGTAGAGACTCATAGAGACACATAGAGCCGCATAGACACTCATAGAGATGGAAGAGCTCAGCACTAGGGCTCAAACCCAGGCTCTCAGTGTCTCCGACACGGCCATTGTGAACCCCCTGAGAGAGACACCCAGACACCCAGACCCAGTGTTGAACCCAGGCTATTAGTGTCTCCGACACGGCCATTGTGAACCCCCTGAGAGAGACACCCAGACCCAGTGTTGAACCCAGGCTCTCAGTGTCTCCGACACGGCCATTGTGAACCCGCTGAGAGAGACACCCAGACCCAGTGTTGAACCCAGGCTCTCAGTGTCTCCGACACGGCCATCGTAAACCCCTTGAGAGACACCCAGACCCAGGTCTCGAACCCAGGCTCTCAGTGTCTCCGACACGGCCATTGTGAACCCCCTGAGAGAGACACCCAGACCCAGGGCTCGAACCCAGGCTCTCAGTGTCTCCGACACGGCCATTATGAACCCCCTGAGAGAGACACCCAGACCCAGGGCTCGAACCCAGGCTCTCAGTGTCTCCGACACGGCCATTGTGAACCCCCTGAGACACCCAGACCCAGTGTTGAACCCAGGCTCTCAGCGTCTCCAACACGGCCATCGTGAACCCCCTGAGAGAGAGAGAGATACCTAGACCCAGGGCTCGAACCCAGGCGCTCAGTGTCTTCGACACGGCCATTGTGAACCCCCTGAGAGAGAGAGACACCCAGACCCAGGGCTCAAACATAGGGTCTCAGTGTCTCCGACACGGCCATTGTGAACCCCCTGAGAGAGACACCCAGACCCAGTGTTGAACCCAGGCTCTCAGCGTCTCCGACACGGCCATTGTGAACCCCCTGAGAGAGACACCCAGACCCAGTGTTGAACCCAGGCTATTAGTGTCTCCGACACGGCCATTGTGAACCCCCTGAGAGAGACACCCAGACCCAGTGTTGAACCCAGGCTCTCAGTGTCTCCGACACGGCCATTGTGAACCCCCTGAGAGAGACACCCAGACCCAGTGTTGAACCCAGGCTATTAGTGTCTCCGACACGGCCATTGTGAACCCTCTGAGAGACACCCAGACCCAGGGCTCGAACCCAGGCTCTCAGTATCTCCGACACGGCCATTGTGAACCCCCTGAGAGAGAGACAGACACCCAGACCCAGGGCTCGAACCCAGGTTCTCAGTGTCTCCGACACGGCCATTGTGAACCCCCTGAGAGAGAGAGAGACACCCAGACCCAGTGTCGAACCCAGGCTCTCAGTGTCTCCGACACGGCCATTGTGAACCCCCTGAGAGACACCCAGACCCAGGGCTCGAACCCAGGCTCTCAGTGTCTCCGACACGGCCATTGTGAACCCCCTGAGAGAGACACCCAGACCCAGGGCTCGAACCCAGGCTCTCAGTGTCTCCGACACGGCCATTGTGAACCCCCTGAGACACCCAGACCCAGTGTTGAACCCAGGCTCTCAGCGTCTCCGACACGGCCATCGTGAACCCCCTGAGAGAGAGAGAAAGATACCTAGACCCAGGGCTCGAACCCAGGCGCTCAGTGTCTTCGACACGGCCATTGTGAACCCCCTGAGAGAGAGAGACACCCAGACCCAGGGCTCAAACATAGGGTCTCAGTGTCTCCGACACGGCCATTGTGAACCCCCTGAGAGAGACACCCAGACCCAGTGTTGAACCCAGGCTCTCAGCGTCTCCGACACGGCCATTGTGAACCCCCTGAGAGAGACACCCAGACCCAGTGTTGAACCCAGGCTATTAGTGTCTCCGACACGGCCATTGTGAACCTGCTGAGAGAGAGAGAGAGACACCCAGACCCAGTGTTGAACCCAGCCTCTCAGCGTCTCCGACACGGCCACTATGAAGCTCCCGGCAAGCTGTCTGGAGGCATCTGGCAGGAGAGTCTCATGTCCACCTCCAGTGTGGACACGAACGCCGCATCTCCCCCCGTGTCTCCCGCCGTGTCTCCCCTCGTGTCTCCCTCCGTGTCTCCCTCTGTGTCTCCCCCAGGATCTCCCCCCGCGTCTCCCTCTGTGGCGTCTCCTCTCCCGGCCTCCGTCTCCGCGGCTCCATCGCCGGCGGAAGAATCCACTGGAAGAAGAGGCGGACAAAGGCAAAGATCACCCGTGTAGCCTCTAACAGACTGTCGGGGCAAGTGCTGTTAGTAGCGAGTAGCAGCAGCGCCTATGAAGGAGACAAAGACAAAGATCACCCGTGTAGCCTCTAGCAGACTGTCGGGGCAAGTGCTGTTAGTAGCGAGTAGCAGCAGCGCCTATCACACACCACACACACCTACACACACACACACACCTACACACACACACACAGACACACCTACACACACACACCCGTGTAGCCTTAACAGACTGTTGGGGCATGGAGCGCTGGGTTAGATACAGGGTTAGGTGATAGGATTTGGCACAAGAGAATATGGTTAGGGGATACATTTTGGGTTCGGGCTAAGGGGGGCTAAGGCTTGGGTTATTGATATGTTATAGGGGTAGGGCTAGCCTTAGGGTTATGGTTATGGCTCAGGTTTAGGGGATGGTTATAGCCAGACGTATTGCGTCATGCATGTATGGACACTTAACTCTTTCGCACCGTACATAGCCAACCGTGTTCATCGGAGGTGCTGCGGTTGGGGGTGAAGAGTTGTGGCCGTGGAGTCAGGGTTAGGGGTGGGCGGTGTTCGGGTTAAGGGTTAAGTACACGTGGGTTTAAGCAGCGCTGTTGGGTTGTCGTCTCTTGAGGCTGTTAACTACCTCGCCTGGTGTACATGAGGTCGTGGGTTCGATCCTGACTGTGACGACGCCTGCTGTTGTACATTTGGAGTTTGCGTGTCTCTCTCTCTCTCATCATCATCATCATCACGGTGGCTAGGAGATGTTAACTACCTCGCCTGGTGTACATGAGGTCGTGGGTTCCATCCTGACGACGCCTGCTGCTGTATATTTGGAGTTTGCGTGTCTCTCTCTCTCCCCGTGGTGGCGTGGATTTGTCTCCGAGGTCCTCCCGGCTTCCCCCCCCCCCTCCACATTTAGAATTGACGTCACCACGCGTTTTAGAGCGTAATTGGCTGCCGCTATAAATTCCCACGCAATGATGGTGATGATGATGATGGTTATGATGGTGATGATGGTGGTGATGATGATGGTGATGATGGTGATGATGATGGTGATGATGATGGTGATGATGATGATGGTGATGATGATGATGGTGATGATGGTGATGATGATGGTGATGATGATGGTGATGATGATGATGGTGATGATGATGGTGATGATGATGGTGATGATGATGATGGTGATGATGATGGTGATGATGATGATGGTCATGATGGTGATGATGGTGATGATGATGGTGATGATGATGGTGATGGTGATGATGATGGTGATGATGATGGTGATGATGATGGTGATGATGATGATGGTGATGATGGTGATGATGGTGATGATGATGATGATAAGCCCCACCACTTCGTTGAAGCTATCATTGGGATGGCCCAGTCGCGTCTGAAAGAAATAGCTCCATGGCAGCTCTGTGGTTGTGCCTTTACCTGGGATAATAAAACGTAGTTTAGAGTTTCGTTTGTTTTTTTAGCATCTGCCGACACGGCCATCATGAACGGCGCTGGGCCCGAGGCGACAAACTCACGCTCAGTCCGTAGGGTGCGCAGGTAGTGACGCATGAAGTCCATCCCAAATTTCTCCACCTCCTCCACCTCCTCCACCCCCACCCCCTCCCCACCCCCTCCTCCTCCTCGGGACCGCCGCGTCTCTCCGTTGGCACGGGATCGGGCAAACTCACGGCCGGCTCCAGAGGATTGTCGCGCAGATTCACGAATCTGGTGGGCGGAGAAGGAGGCGAGTCAAGATGACGACGACGACGATGATGATGGTGATGACGACAACGATGACGACGATAACGACGATGATGACGACGACGACGACGATGATGACGACGATGATGACGATGATGACGACGACGACGATGACGACGATGATGACAATGATGACGATGATGATGATGACGATGATGACGATGATGACGATGATGACGACGACGACGATGACGACTACGATGATGATGATGACGATGATGACGATGATGATGATGACGATGATGACGATAACTACAATGATGATGATGACGATGATGATGTCGACTACGATCATGATAACGACGATGATGATGACAATGATGATGATGATGACGACGATAACGACAATGATGACGATGATGATGATGACGATGATGACGACGACGATGATAGTTAGCAGTAGAGGAGAGACAGGCAGCTGCGCGTGCTGGAGTGCGTTGGGGGGACAGGGGGGGGGGTCTCTCACGTGAGTCCTGTCATGGCCTCCATCGCCAGGGGCAGCTGCCGCAGGCGGTTGCCGCTGAGCACCAGCGTGGTGAGGGAGCGCAGGCGGCACAGCGACTCGGGCAGCGCCTGCAGCAGGTTGCGCTGCAGCCACAGCGAGTGGAGGCGCTCCCAGCTGGCGGGAGCACACGCACACACACGCACACACACACAGACACACACACACACAGACACACACACACGCACACAGACACACACACACAGATACACACACACAGACACACACACACACACACAGACAAAAGACAAAGATCCCCCGTATAGCCTTAACAGACTGTAGGGGCAAGTGCTGTTAGCGAGCACCTATGAAGGCCGGAACGGTACACGAGGGGGTGGGTGGCCAGCACCACGCCCGACCGCCTTTGTCTCCCCAGTGGCGATGTTTACACACCGCACCAGGTACTCATTTAAGGCTGAGTTGACCTAGGGGAGGCCCAGGACCGGTTCAGATAATCGTCACTGGTGTTAGCCGTGAGCGGGAATCGAACCCGGGTCGCCAGGTTCATAGCGCAGCGCGCTAACCGCTACACCACCGCTCCCCACGGTGATGTTGTCGGTCGTGGTGGCGGTGGTTGTCGTTGTGGTGGCATTGGTTGTGGTTGTGGTGGTTGTGGTGATTGTTGTGGTGGTAGTAGTGGTTGTGGTGGTTGTAGTTGTTGTCAAAGTCGTTTTGTGGGAGAAGTGGTTGTGGTGGTTGTTGTGGTAGTAGTGGACGTGGTGGTTGTTGTAGTAGTAGTGGTTGTGATGGCGTTGGTTGTGGTGATTGTGGTAGTAGTGGTTGTGGAGGTTATTGTGGTAGTAGTGGTTGTGGTGGTGGCGGTTGTTGTGGTCGTAGTTGTGGTGGTTGCAGTTGTAGTAGTGGTGGCTGTGCTTGTAGTGGTTGTTGTGGTGGTCGTTGGTGGTTGTGGTTCTTGGTGGTGGTGATTGTTGTTGGTGGTGGTGGTCGTAGTGGTGGTGGTTGTGGTGGTGATGTTGGTGGTGGTGGTGATGGTGGTGGTGGTCGTAGTGGTGCTGGTGGTGGTGGTTGTTGTTGTTGGTTGTTGGTGCTGGTTGTGCTGGTGGTGGTGGTTGTTGTTGTTGGTGGTGGTGCTGGTGGTGGTGCTGGTGGTGCTGGTGGTGGTGGTGATGGTGGTGATGGTGCTGGTGGTGGTGCTGGTGGTGCTGGTGTTGGTTGTTGTTGTTGTTGGTGGTGGCGGTGGTGCTGGTGCTGCTGGTGGTGCTGGTGGTGGTGGTTGTTGTTCTTGTTGTTGGTGGTGGTTGTTGTTGTTGGTGGTGGTAGCGGTGGCGGTGGTGGTGGTTGGTCATAGTCGTAGCTGCAGTGGTTGTTGGTGGCGGCGGCGGTTGTTGTTGCTGTTTGATGTTGTTGTTTGTTGTTGGTGGTGGTTGTTGTTGTTGCTGGTGGTGGTTGTTGTTGTTGGTGGTGGTGATGCTGGTGCTGCTGGTGGTGGTGGTGCTGGTGGTGGTGGTGCTGGTGGTGGTGCTGGTGGTGGTGGTGCTGGTGGTGGTGGTGCTGGTGGGTGGTGCTGGTGGTGGTGGTGCTGGTGGTGGTGGTGCTGGTGGTGGTGGTGGTGCTGGTGGTGGTGGTGGTGCTGGTGGTGGTGGTGCTGGTGGTGGTGGTGCTGCTGGTGGTGGTGGTGCTGCTGGTGCTGCTGGTGGTGGTGGTTGTTGTTGTTGGTGGTGATGCTGGTGGTGGTGGTTGTTGTTGTTGTTGGTGGTGGTGTTGTTGTTGTTGGTGCTGGTGGTGTCACCTGCTCAAGTCGCTGGGCAGCGCCTGCAGGCGGTTGCTGCTCAGGTCGAGCCACTCGAGAGCCGCCAGGCGCAGCAGGGCGGCGGGCACGTGGGGGAACGAGTTCACGGACAGGTCCACGTGGTACAGGCTGGGCAGGGAGCCCAGCTGGTGGGGAGGGGGTCACGTGGGGGGGCGGCGGGCACGTGGGGGAACGAGTTCACGGACAGGTCCACGTGGTACAGGCTGGGCAGGGAGCCCAGCTGGTGGGGAGGGGGTCACGTGGGGGGGCGGCGGGCACGTGGGAGAACGAGTTCACGGACAGGTCCACGTGGTACAGGCTGGGCAGGGAGCCCAGCTGGTGGGGGGGAGGGGGGGAGACGTGAGACGTGGGGGGGGGGGAGATGTCGGGGGGGCAGGATGTGGGGGGGGGGGCGGGGGGGGGATGTGGGGGGGAGGTCGATGAGGATGACGATGATGTTGGTGATGGTGACCATGATGATGACGTTGAAGATGATGACGACGATGATGTTGATGACGGTGACCATGATGATGACGTTGGAGATGATGATGATGACGACGATGACGTTGGTGACCATGATGATGACGTTGGAGATGATGATGATGATGACGACGATGACGTTGGAGATGATGATGATGACGAAGATGATGTTGGTGACCATGATGACGTTGGAGATGATGATGACGACGATCACGTTGGTGACCATGATGATGACGTTGGAGATGATGACGACGACGATGGCGTCACCTCGTCCGGCAGCTCGTGGAGGCCCTGGTTGGCCGACAGCTCGAGCCGCTGGAGGTCGCGGCACTGCGACAGCTCCGGCGGGATGGACTCCAGAGCGTTGTAGCTCAGAGACAGCTCGCGCAGGCGGGACAGCTGGCCTAGCAACAACAACAACAACATCAACAACAACATCAACAACAACATCAACAACAATATAAACAGCACTGCGACAGCTCCGGCGGGACGGACTCCAGCGCGTTGTAGCTCAGAGACAGCTCGCGCAGGCGGGACAGCTGGCCTAGCAACAACAACAACAACGACAACAACAACAACATCAACAACAATATAAACAGCACTGCGACAGCTCCGGCGGGACGGACTCCAGCGCGTTGTAGCTCAGAGACAGCTCGCGCAGGCGGGGACAGCTGGCCTAGCAACAACAACAAGAACAACAACGACGAACTCAACAACAATAAAAACAACATCAGCAAACAACATAAACATCAACATAAACAACAATTAAATCAACAACATCAACAAAAACAACATCAACAAAAACAACATCAACAACATCAACATTAACAACAGCAATGAAATCAACATCAACAAAAAACGTCAACAACAACATCAGCAACAATGAAATCAACAAAAACAACAACATCAACAACAATATAAACAACATCAACATAAACAACATAAACAACAAATAAATCAACACCATCAACAAAAACAACATCAACAAACAACATGAACAACAATAACATAAACAACAGCAATGAAATCAACATCAACACAAAACGTCAACAACATCAACAACAATGAAATCAACAACATCAACAAAAACAACATCAACATAAACAACATCAACAACAATTAAATAAACAACATCAACAACAACATAACAACATCAACAACAATGAAAGCAACTTTTCGATTTAAAGCTTTCGTGACTGCAGGGATTCATCTTCTTGGTTCTTTCGGTAAAGTGACGTAGAAGGGAAATAATAAAATAATAAAAATCAAACATTATAAAATACAATTCTCACGACGTTTCGGCCACAACGCAAGCAGCCGTCCTCAGGTGAAGAACAGGTCTGTCGGAAAGACAATGGTTCATTCAGACGCTGTCTTTCCGACAGACCTGTTCTTCACCTGAGGACGGCTGCTTGCGTTGTGGCCGAAACGTCGTGAGAATTGTATTTATTATGTTTTATTTTATTATTTTATTATTTCCCTTCTACGTGACTTTACCGAAAGAACCAAAACAATTAAATCAACATAAAAAAACAACATCAACAAACAACATAAACAACAATTAAATTAACAACATCGTCTCTGACCGATCTGCGGCGGGAGGCAGCGGATGCGGTTGCGGGAGAGGTCGAGGGTGAGGAGGCTGCCGAAGGCGCCCAGGTTGGGCGGGAGCGAGTGGAGCTGCGTGCGGTGGATCTGCCACTCGTGCATGGCGGGCAGCTGCTCCAGGGCGGCTGGAAGCTTCTACACGGGGGGGGGGAGGGGGGAGAGATGTGGGGGGGGGGGCACGTGACAGCACGTGGGACACGTGGTGAGACACGCGTGGTGAGAGACACGTGATGAGAGACACGTGGTGAGACACACGTGATGAGAGACACGTGGTGAGACACACGTGATGAGACACACGTGATGAGACACGTGGTGAGAGACACGTGGTGAGACACACGTGATGAGACACACGTGGTGAGACACACGTGATGAGACACGTGGTGAGAGACACGCGTGGTAAGACACACGTGACGGCACGTGGGACACGTGATGAGACACACGTGATGAGAGACACGTGGTGAGACACACGTGGTGAGACACACGTGGTGAGAGACACGCGTGGTAAGACACACGTGACGGCACGTGGGACACGTGATGAGACACACGTGATGAGAGACGCGTGGTGAGACACACGTGATGAGACACACGTGGTGAGAGACACACGTGGTGAGACACACGTGGTGAGAGACACGCGTGGTAAGACACACGTGACGGCACGTGGGACACGTGATGAGACACACGTGATGAGAGACGCGTGGTGAGACACACGTGATGAGACACACGTGGTGAGAGACACACGTGATGAGACACACGTGGTGAGAGACGCGTGGTGAGACACACGTTGATGAGACACACGTGTGAGACACACGTGGTTGAGACACACGTGGTGAGAGACACGCGTGATGAGACCACACGTGGTGGAGAGGACGCGTGGTGAGACACCACGTGATGAGACACACGTGGTGAGAGTGGTGAGACACACGTGGTGAGAGTGAGTGAGACACACGTGGTGAGACACACGTGGTGAGACAACACGTGGTGAGAGGACACGCGTGATGAGACACACGTGGTGAGAGACGCTTGGTGAGACACACGTGCTGAGACACACGTGGTGAGGAGACACGCGTGATGAGACACACGTGGTGAGAGACACGCGTGATGAGACACACGTGGTGAGAGACACGCGTGATGAGACACACGTGGTGAGAGACGCGTGGTGAGGACACACGTGATGAGGACACACGTGTGAGAGACACGCGGATGAGACACACGTGGGAGACACCACGTGGTGAGACACACGTGGTGAGAGACACACGTGATGAGACACACGTGATGAGACACACGTGGTGAGAGACGCGTGGTGAGACACACGTGATGAGACACACGTGATGAGACACACGTGGTGAGAGACACGCGTGGTAAGACACACGTGACGCACGTGGGACACGTGATGAGACACACGTGATGAGACACGTGGTGAGAGACGCGTGGTGAGACACACGTGATGAGGACACACGTGGTGAGACACACGTGGTGAGACACACGGAGGAGAGACACACGTGATGAGACACACGTGGTGAGAGACGCGGTGTGAGACACACG